TTTACATAAAAAAATAAAAACAATTCAGAAATATGCATCATCTATTTTCCGTGGTGGTGCCCATGGTGGTGACCGTGATGGTGGCCATGATGGTGGCCGTGATGGTGGCCGTGATGATGATGATGATGGTGCCCAAAAGCGCCTTGAAACATGGACACGGCAGCTGCAAGAAAAGAAATTAAGTATAAATTAACTGATTTTAATTAACTAAAACAGACTTGACCCATGGATAGAGATTTGATAATTTACTTAATATAATTAATATCGGAAGCAAGCGAGATTTGTTTTCCCACGGGATGTCACTTTGCAGTTTAATATGTTCACAGGAGAATCATCCTAGAATGCATGTGAAAAAAGAGAAAAATAATAATTTTTATTTGAAACCTATTACAGAAAAAGGAAAATACGAGTGTTTTAACGTTAAGTTGTTGGTGAGTTTCGAAATGAGACAAACCAATCTAAACTATGCTTAGGTGTCCTCCATTACAGCGATGTAAGATTGACGAGTAATGCCAACACAGTTTGGATGTACTCACCAAGCAGGAGAGAAGCAAGGACGGCTGTCACATTCATTGTGAATATGTATTACCAGTAGATACTGAAAGGTTGATGTTGGCGGATGTTTTGTAAATTGTTTGAGATGTCATGTATTTATACGTTCTTTACTACCGGAAATTAATATAGACCTACGTGACAGATACTCCGCCCCCTGGCGGGAGAGTCGAATGTTGCCTCAGACCAAGGTCGTGGTCCTGCTGAGAATGGGTGTAGGCACTGACCACAAACAGGGACAGATAATGTCGTGTTTTGTGCATTGTCTGCCTGTATTGGCGTGTTCCCGTTCGGCAAAGTACTCAAAGCAAGCAAGCAGGTCATATCGTGAATTTACATGCAGAAGCTGGAGGAACCCAGGTAGCCCATCTGTGTTGTAGTAATGCCGCTTTCAACACTATTCCAGTCATATCACCGCGTGTCATCTTTATGAGTCCTGCTGTGACCGCAAACAGGGTACTGATCAAGCCTAGAGGCCTAAGAAGTAGAAACAATATGTCCGTTACACCACGGCGAAGCAGCTTAATGTGGGAGGAAATCCCGAGGTGATACAGGTTGAATTTGGAATTCGAAGCCACCACCGTACATTTCTAGCACACCTAGGCGAGGAAACTCTGCATAGCGAATCAGGGCGCTGCGTCATGAATATAGACAAGTTCTATGTAAATGTAATGTGATAAACAAATATAGTCTGCTCCACCCCCATGGGACGTATAATATAGTATAGTTTTGCCCTGAACTATACTCTGCAAAGTAGGTAACGCTTAAGTAGTAACATCTATACAACACCATCCCAAGTGAGAGTCGGGCGCCGAAACACAACAACATAACACTGTAGCACCATGCACCATTACAAGACTGTAGAACAGTTACACGACATATGGGACAACAGGTGACCTTCCCAGACCCGTCCGACGTGTCAGTACTAGAGCTCAGGACAGCGTCATACGGCTACGTCACTTACGTGAAAGAACCAGCACGACCACGGCAATACCAGAATTGCGTAGGATATCAGCCCAGACAGTGAGGAACCGTATAGGCGCTGAATGTATCCGCTCTAGACGACCAGTTCGAGGTGTCATTTTGACGGACCTACAGCCATCTCCTACACTGGTAGAACAGACTTGGTGCAAGTTCTGGGGAATCTAAGGGCACAACGTTATAAGAATGAGATTCTTCAGCCACACGTCCTTCCCATTTTTTGCCAGGAATCACAAAATCCAGGATCCGCGAGCATGTCAGCAACAACAACAGAACCTCCGACAGTTGGTCAAGGGTGAGTGAACATTCCCCAAACCACAAATCTGACTCGGATTGCTTCCATGGGACGACGATGCCATTTTCAATATATTTTCAATATATTGTATGGTCACCATTAGAGTCTCTTCAGTCATGTCTGGAATGTGTATGGGAATTGCATTCCCTGAAGAAACGTGTTGTTTCCATAAGAACTTGAACATTATAGAGAAACACCTTTGTCAACACAATAATTGACAACAATATATATATACTGAACAACAAAAGTTCCTGTGACATTGAATAACATTCAATGCAAAGTTATGTTTTTTACCAAATCTGAAACAATTTCGGTTTGCAACAGATAAAATACTCCTGTAAGTGTTCAAATGGTTTAATTTGCCATACTGACTTCAGAAAATGCGTGATTTCATTAAAAACATGAACATGCCAAAATGTCAATTTGCAAATCAATAGCGTGTGTGTCCACCTCTGGTTGCAATACAAGCAACACATCTTCGTCTTATGGAATGGACCAGGCGTCGCAGAAAGTCCTGTGGGATATCTGTCCATATCTGCTGGAGCATGTTTCGAAGTTCCTGGAGTGTCTGTGGAACACGAGGTTGACGTCGGAGGCGCCGATCCGTCTCATCCCACATGTGGTCGATTGGTGAGAGATCAGGGGAGCGAGCCGGCCAGGGGATGACATTCACGTTGTTTTGTTGAAGAGAATCCTGAACAAGTCGAGCAATATTAGGCCGGGCGTTGTCATGTTGAAAGGTAATGCCTGGGCCATGACGACGCAAAAACGGTAGAACAACAGGGCCGATGATCTCGTCGCGGTAGCGCTGTCCATTGAGATTTCCCTCTACCAGTATCAAACGGGTCCTCTGTCTTGCTATAATCCCACCCCATACCATAACGCTGCCGCCCCCGAACCGATCTTCTTCCATGACACAATGATTGACGTAACGTTCACCTCGACGTCGATACACTCGAAACTAGAGTCGTCAGTGAATAGACTTGTCCCCACTGCATGGCCGTCCAGCGTAGACGCTGTCTCCACCACTGTAGACGTGCTTGACGGTAGTTTCCTGTCAAAATGGGACGTCTGGCGGGTCTTCTGGCGACAATCCCTGCACATCTGAGGCGACGACGTACGGTTTGTGAAGATATTCGTCGAAGGCAAGGGATGCTTCTTGCAGTCACTGTTGCTGGCTGGAATCGATTTCGTAGGTGTGTTGTTTGAATCCAGTTGTCTTGTCGATTAATGGTTACGCGTGGCCTGCCACTCCGAGGATGGTCTCTGACTGCATTCGTCTGTTGTCAACGTTCCCATAAACACCAAATGGTGTTTCTGTGGACGTTAAATTGTCTTGCAACATCACGTTGACTCGATCCTGCTTCAAGCATACCCATGGCTCGCAGACGCTCATTTTCGGACAGGCGTGGCATTTCGTAATGTTGAATAATTGCGTAATTTTGTTGTTTTTCTGAGTGGTTGTTGTCAGCACGATGCTAAACAATGCATATGAGCACATGTTTTATACGCATTCATGGGTAGTGAAATGCATGGGGCTTGCATAAAAGTCAACTTTTGCATGGAATGCATGCTTTTCTGTAGCAGTTGCGTGACTTGATTCCATACATGTAGTACAATATTGAAAACCAAACTTTACTTGTTTGAAAAATACACTAAAATACTGGTGTCACAGGAACTTTTGTTGTTGAATATAGTTCACCAAACCCAAAGCGAAGCCACATAAGGATGACCTCATCCTTTCGTTTGTACCTGATAGCTTACCGTGAAACTTAATTGATGGTTCACTAAATGCATGTGTAGTTCCATTATCCAACGCTTGCCAAAATTAGTTGCAGGAGGGAGAAAATGTCATCATTCAATTCCCTTGGACAAGAGTGTGATATCAATATTGGTTCTGCAAGAGAATACTCATCTTCAAAACTCATTACCATTCAAACCCACATTTCGGGCGTGGACATCAACACTGTCATATCTTTGATATTTTGAATTCATAAGAGGTGAAAAGAGGGTTTACGTCGCGTTCAAGATTGTTGCACTTATGCAGGACTTGCACGCACTTGTGTGTGTCTGCTTGTACAAGTCTGGACTGATGCCGGTTTTGTGCTGCTTGTGCACTGAGATACCAACCCGCAGATTATTTTTAACATTTATAGTGAGTGAGTTAGTTTGTATGGTTTTACGCCGCTTTTAGCAATATTCAAGCAATATCACGGCGGGGGACACCAGAAATGGGCTTCACACATTGTACCCATGTCGAGAATTGAACCCGGGTCTTCGGCGTGACGAGCGAACGCTTTAACAACTAGGCTACCCAACCTCCCCTTTTAACATTTATATTCCACTGAGGCCTAGTATACTGACTCCGAGCCGACCAGTTCTTCTATAATTCCGTTAATGCCGAGTGCCAGGCAGGGTAACATTATCCAACAAGGGAACATCTTTTAAATGTTTTTGTTATGATGCAGGTATGATGTTTGGGATCAAACACCGACCTTCGGTCAGACGGTGGTCTTACAGGAATCATATACACGTGCATGCATGTGTGTGTGTGACTGTTTGTACAAGTCCGGGCGTATACCGGTTATATAGCGCTAGACACCATGTCGCAGTTTAAAACGTATACCCGACACATTATACTGACACCGGCCGATCAAGCCTTGTTTTCTCCTCTTAATTCCGAGCGCTAGGCAGGGTAACAACAACTACCACCTTTTAACCGATTTGTCTTTGTGGTATGACGCGACCAGGGGTTCGAACCATCGATCTTCCTCTGTCCTGGCAGACGCTGTATCCACTAAATCACGAAGGCGAATTGATGAGATAATAGAATCAGTAAATACTAGCTCAAGCTAACGCATTACTAGGGGGGAGATTTTTATTCATAAGCAGACGCTCTAGCCATTAGACCATGAAGGTGGTCATGTCAATAACGAATTAGAATAACAACATAAGTAAGAATCATATGAACTTTAATCGATTGCAAAGGTGAGGTAAAAATGCATATTGTGTGAAATGCATCAAAATACTTCGTTGGGTCCCCAAAGTCTCTGAAGAGTGAGCGAGTGAGTATGGGTTTACGCCGCTTTTAGCAATATTCCAGCAATACGAGTATCACGGCGGGGGACACCAGAAATGGGCTTCACACATTGTACCCATGTCGGAAATCGAACCCGGGTCTTCGGCACGACGAGCGAACGCTTTAACCTCTCTGAAAAGGAAAATCAACTTATGACACACTATAAGATAATGTACCTTTTTAAAAATTGAGTTTGAATTGAGTAATAATTTCAATTGATGACCTGAAATTATTTTTATTTAAATATATAAATATATATTTTTTAAAGTTACATGTACACACCATCTATTTTCCGTGATGGTGCCCGTGATGATGATGCCCGTGATGGTGCCCATGGTGATGATGGTGATGGTGATGGTGCCCACTAGCACATTGAAACATGGCCACAGAAGCTTTAACAGCAAATCAAACATAATCAGACCACAAAAACAGTAACGTATTTCGTTTATGGTTTCGGGGTAGACGAGCTGGTGAGGATGTTAACATTTCTGTTTTGGCTGACTCTGTTTTAGCAGATTAGGGACATTTACTGTGTCTAATATACATTGAAACGACCATTCCCGCAAAGATAGATACGTGTAACACAGAGGAACGTAGAGATATTAGCTAGTTCCAAACTGACCTTTTAAATCTTGTACACATGCCAAACATTCTCGAGATCATTTTGTCATGACCATGGCCTGGCATTAACACAGGACCTTCAAATAGCCTAAAATGTAGAAACTTGAATGTACTCACCAAGTACAATGGAAGCAAATACGGCTGTCAGATTCATCGTAAATTTCGAACACCCGTCTGTACCGAAAGCTAAATGTTGTCAGATGGTCTGTAGATTGTATCACTTGTATTTATACGTAATTCTTTACGGAAGTTAGTACTGAACCACGTGACAGGTATATGTGCCGCCCCCTTGAGAGACAAGGGCGCCTCGAGTCCCACTGAGATTGGGTGTAGGCACTGACCACAAACAGGGCAGTAAATGTCGTATTTTGTACACTTTCTTCCTGTATAGGTGTGTTCTTGTTCGGTGAATTAATTACTCAGAGGAAGTTGACAGCTCCTGGCATGAACTTACACATGTACATGCAGAGGAACATAGGCAGTCAGTTGTCTTTGTAGCTGTATCGCCGCTTTCAACACTATGTCAGTTGTATCGCGGTGTGTCAGCTTGATTTGGGATGTTAAGTCCACAGTTATGCAGATGTCCGACGTTCATCACTTTTATGAAACATGGTGCTGACAAACCAAAAACATAATCAAAGCGAATATTGATTCGAACCGCCCATCGAAGACTGCACCAAACCATGCCGGCGCCATAAACGACTGAAGCACCCGTGCCCTCGAAAAGTAGCATTCAGGAATAATATGAGTGAGTGAGTTAGGTTTAACACCGCTTTTAACAGTATTCCAGTTTCACGGCGTGTCAGCTTAACGTGGGAGGAAAGCCCGAAGTGATGCAGGTATCAGACGTTTACCACTTCGGTGAAACCCACGAGCACGGGTATGGTGCTGACAAACCTAGAAACATAATCGAGGCGAACCGGGATTCGAACCCACAATCATAGGCAGCGTCTATATAAATGTAATATGAACTCGAGTTCAACATTTGCCAACATAGTCATACTTTTTAATTAATTTACTAGTATATCCTGTCATCAGCAAGCAAGCAAAATTATGGGTCAATGATGTGTTTATGAGAAAGCAAAAGATTGTTTCTCGCCTGAAATATTTTATCTCTAAAAACAAAATTGTATTTCTTCAGTCTTGTTTTGAATTTGTATGGGTAGTGCTTTCCAATAGCAAACGTGTTGTTTCCATTACAAAGACAACGTTTTAGGGGAACAACTTTATCAATAATTGACTGATATGTATGTTTTGTCCACAAAGACCAAATCGAAGGAAGACCCCACCCCTTTCCTTTACGCCTTATGGCTCACTGAAGGCATATGTTTTGTTTGTTGTATAACGCCGCAATCAGCAATTTTCCTCAGCAATATGTAGGCGATCTGTAAATAATCGAGTCTGGACCAGACAATCCAGTAATTGACTTTATGAGCATCGATCTACACAATTGGGATACGATGACAGGCATCAACCAAGTTAGATAGCCTGATCACCCGATACCGTTAGTCGCCTCTCATGACAAACATTGTCGTCTTTCCTGCAAGCCTGGGTTGCTGAAGACCTATTCTTATCCGGATCTTCACGGGTAGAATGCTTATGAGGATGAGAAAATGGCATTGTTCAATTCTCTTGGATAGGATAGTGATAACAATTCTAGGGAATACTTATCCAACCTACTATCCCAGCGGGGACGCAAACATTAACTTCCCTTATAGATGTTGAATTCTTAGCGGTGAAGTGAGGGCGAATATATACATACATCGTCGCGAGCGAGGTGTGTGTGTGTGTGTGTGTGTGTGTGTGTGTGTGTGTGTGTGTGTGTGTGGTAGTAGTAGTAGTAGTAGTAGTAGTAGTAGTAGTAGTAGTAGTAGTAGTAGTAGCCCACTGAGATACCATGCCACAATTTAACATGAATACCCACTCAGACACAGGCAGCAGGCTGATATATAGCCATTGATGTTATTTAGTTTTCAATTTACTTTCTTTTTGATAGTTCTTGACGGCGGGGGTGTACTTGTAATTCCTAACGTTCCACCAGTAGTTAACTCTTCAGAAAATTAATTTTGTATATAGCAACAGAAGTATGACTCATTTGCACAACATTCTGTTTTGAAAATGCATTCGAGCAATTTGTTTTTTTTCACTTTGTTATGATTCTGACGATATCTGAAGAAACATTAAGCCTTTCACCAAAGTATATATTGTAATAGAAAAATCAAATTCAGATTTGCTGAAAAATATGTTCTTTCAGCACCAAACTACATTTCTATTCCTGGAATATATTTCCTCCCTCCAAACATCATGACAATCTACTTCAAATGCGATGCTTTACAACGCCATGGCTAAAGTTCAGATTCCTTTGTACAGACTGATGAACAAAATAAAGATGACCAGGGCGTCTCCAAAAGTAACAATCATCAGCAAACGTGGAAGCACGAACGTTACAGGCAAATCACAAAATACCATGTAATGTTTAAAATAGGGCTAAAGTCACGACCTCGCGCAGTGCCATTTTCTAAGGCTCTCAAGTTAAGAAGAAAATGTTTCATTTAAACATTCTGCCTCGGATTTGTTAAGAGGCAGTACTTGCCTCAATACTATGCGATTGGCTTTATCTATTTCATAATATATGCATATCATGAATTCCTGATTAGCAACATTTGTTTCTATTATTTCACTAAATTGTATGGCATCTATGAAGGAACATTGATTAAATTTGACACTTTGGCTTGTTTTTGTAAGGACGACAATGGCCCTTCTTGGATCACACAATTGAGACTTATGTCATTTCCTTATAATGTAATATAAAAGATTGAAATTGTACACGTGAAAGCTTAAAAACGGTTTCTTCTGAAATCTTCAACCCCCTATCCTATTATGAGCGGGGCATATGTGAGGTGTTCATTACATCATACTTACACACGAGCTGTCAAGAATGGGTGTGACCTTTTAATGATGCCAGATACAAGATATGTCAAAATATGTTGTAACATGTTATAACAAACAACAACTAAAACAAACTGAGTGTTGAATGTTATCGCAATTTACAAATTTAAAATTGCTTTTGCACATATACCTCCACGTTCAGGGACATGGGAGAAACTGTCTGGTTCGCAATTCTTCAATTAATGAAGATAAATATCAGGGCGTTCTGATAAATAATTGATATCTGGCCCAACGTGAAAAGCATATTCCCCAAAAGTACAATTTACATCCTTAAAGACAAACAATGAATCTGCTAATGTGTTCTTGACGAGTCAGTGTAACACATGACCTGGTTATACATATCCCAAACAATACTGATCAGAAATACTTTCCCTTGAAAAACAGTTTACTGTGTCATGTTTCTCTTTCGCCATATACATGGTAAAATTACAATGTACATAGGCCAATGTCCGCAATACAAACGAACACACTTCTTCTTTTTTCACAAATAAGAGATGATAAGCTGAGTTTGAATTCGCGTTCAATGTCATTGATAATATAGCGACGTGCATGCATGTGTGGGTGTGGCTGCTTGTACTAGTCCGGACGTGAACCGATTTTATAGTGCCGAACACAATCTTGCAGTTTAATATGTATACCAAACACATTATACTGACTTTGGGCCGATCAATCCTTCTTTTATCCCCTTAATTCCGAGTGATGGGCATGGTTACAAGAACCATTTTTTGACGTTTTTTGGTGTCCCGCTCTCCGGGCAGACGGTCAATCCACCAGACCATGGAGATGGTCATGTTAACGAATAAGAATAACAACATAAGTAAGAATCATGTGAACTTTAATCGACTGCAAAGCTGAGGTAGAAAGTATATTGTGTGAAATGCATCCAAATACTTCATTGAGTCCCAAACGTCTCTGAAAAGGAAAAAAACAAACTATGGGACATAGTATTACATAATATATCTTTAATTGAGTTTTAACGGAGTAAAGATTTCAATTGATGACCTGATACATATAAATAAAACAAGATACAAATACACACCATCTATTTGCCATGATGGTGCCCGTGATGATGCCCGTGGTGGTGCCCGTGGTGGTGACCGTGGTGATGATGGTGCCCATGGTGATGATGCCCACTAGCACATTGAAACAAGGCCACAGCAGCTTAAACAGGCAAATCAAACATAATCAGACCACGGTAATTAGTTTTTTGTCGATGTTTTTTTGTGTAGAAGAGCTGTTGGGGCGTTTTTAAATTTCTGTTTTGGCTGAGTCTGTTTAAGAAGATATAAGGACATTTACTGTTTCTTTTCTACAGGGAAAGACTATCACAGCAATGGGTTAATACGTGGACCACATAATCATGTAGATATATTTCCTGGTTCCAAACGGAAAATGTTGGAATTTAAATATACTCACCAAGTACAAGGGAAGTAAAAACGACTGTCAGATTCATCGTAAATATAACACCCGTGTGTACCGAAAGCTAAGTGTTGTCAGATGGTTTGTAAGTTGTATTACTTGTATTTATACGTCAATCTTTACGGAAGTTTGTACTGAACCACGTGACAGGTACGTTAACATCGCCCCCTGGCGAGGACATTGCGGTAGATCGCCGCCGGAATCTTGCTTTGATTGGGTGCAGGCACTGACCACAAACAGGGGCAGATAATGTCGTCTTTTGTACATTGTCTTCCTGTATAGGTGTGTTCTTGTTCGGTGACTTTGTCAAAAGAATCTTCTGTCTGATAAACCAGAAAGATTGGTACATTTGTAGTAACAAAGATTCACGATCTTATTTGTGTAGGAAAAAGTATTATGCACTGAAGATAAAAACTGCCGGGCAAAAGGAAGTATACACCCATGTTTGATTGTGGCTAAAACAATCAAGAAATGTTAACATTCAATGGTGATATATTTGACACGGGTATCACAGCTGTGTTTTGGACTTTAAGTTTGCAGTGTTTCGGCGAGTGTTTTCAGCTCAGTAACGTTGAGGCGCAATATGAATATACTTGTGTCCTAACACCAGAGAGCTGAGATGGCGACTTATACAGGAGCCCACTAAAGTCGTCATGGTCCTATTCTGTAACGTCATGCCCATTGTTCCTGTCTATGCGTCATTAGAGGTGGGTTTTGGCTCCGTCTTTCTAAACATAATCACACTAGTTTTGGCCCTGTTTCTTGATTTCAGAAGCTGACGGCGCGCATAGTTACATATCACACATGGTGTCGCAGCACAAAGAGAGTACTGAGCCAGGCTCTAGATTTTCGAAATGATTGGTTAATAACTTCATATCTTACGTTTAAAGATACGATATCTTAAGTTTGATAAAATACACATTTTCGAACTATCCTTAATTTGACGCATATCGTACGAAGCTGCGATACCTGTCGTAACTCTGGCAGAAACCTCATTTGTGTCAGAGATTGAAAAGCGGATGCTTCTCAATGATGTCACTGGGATTTCCAAGCCGCAGACAAGAACAACAACGTGTAAGAGTAATCTAAGGCGTAACGCGGAATTCATTATCGGATGATGGTTATCCTAGGATTATTTTCAGTCACACTGTTTCACTCACATTGTTCTTATGATAAAAGATGTCATGACAACCTTAACACAATACAGAAAGACTTTGACGAGCGGGGGACGGGTGGCCCAGTCGTCTAAGGCGCCGCGATTCGGTGTGCAGAGTTGCGTCCCTTGGGCATGCCAGAAACCTAGGGTTACGGGTTCGAACCCCGGTTCGCCCCGATTATGTTTCTAGGTTTGTCAGCACCATACCCGTGCTCGTTTCACTGAAGCGGTAAACGTCCTGCATCACTTCGGGCTTTCCTCTCACATTAAGCTGACACGCCGCGATATAACTGGAATACTGTTAAAAGCGGCGTTAACACAACTCACTCACTCACTTTGACGAGAGTATTGTAGTCGTTATATAATGAGCCAGTGGATATGTCATACAACCGACTCACTACATGTAATCTCTCTCATGTCTCAAGGACAGATCGTACGCAACGTGTTATGCATCTGCGCAACGTTTTCACACATCTTAACTTCCGGTGTTTGAATACGTGTATAAAATAGAAAACGAGTTCACCACACCCTCACCCCCCACCCGCTCACCTCTCTGGATACGGGTATTCAAAGCGTTATCAGCAGTGTGGTCACATATCTTCTCTGAATCTTGAGTGAGTGAGTTGGGTTTAACGCCGCTTTGAACGGAATTCCAGTTATATCACTCAGTCGAATCAGAATTGACTGTCGTGAACCTGGACAAATGACTCGTAAAGAAAAGATAATAGTCTGAGATAGCACAAATCATTCTAAAACAAGAACGTAGCTAGTGTACGTTCCTTTGGATGATAAATATGTCCAGGGCTCGCTAAATCCAGTGTTTATTCCTATTTACCATAAGAAAACGACAAAACTCGCGTGATAAGAGTGGAGTTTAGCGGAAGATTACAGGAGTTATTCCCCTTGGTTTCACATGTGTTCAGTGGAAGATTACAAGAGTTATTCCCCTTGGGTTCCCCAAGAGTTTGCAGTGGAAGATAATATATAGGAGGTTGGACCTTTGATTTCAACTTTAACTATATTTATCTCCATCTTGAAGAGTAATCGGTATTTAACGAGCATCCGGTGAAACCAAGGGTAACGGGGAGGGTGCTGACAAACCTAGAACAATTGATGTTTGTGCATGCATGCTTGCGCGAGTGTTTGTGTAGACGTGTGCTTTTTAGATTGTGTACCAGTGTCAAACTGTATATTAAATGAATGCCTGTACGATAATAGAACATGTATTGTGAACGACTTTTGTCCAATGAAACATCTTTGCTTGATCACGTGGGATCTTTTTTTATTCAGATACATGTACCAAAGGACCTTGCGCTGCCAGTATACTTCATGCAATGGGGTCGTTAGTTGTACCATAGATATTACAAGATGGAAAACTATTCGTCTGTAGGCCCTTGATGTTCAGACAATGCACTGTTGCCAGTGAACTATCTCAGCTAAAAGTTATGAAGACAATTTAAAGAAACTTTGTTTTTTCGAACTCGTTAGGCTATAATTCACTTTATCATACCCCTATGTCAGAATGATGAGATCTGATTGGTCCACGTGATCTTGATAAAATACTGCGTTTCCCGCCTTGGAGGGGGTATAAATCTCTTATGCCCCGCCACGAGCAAGTCCGGCTGCACGTGGATTTCTGAGGCAGAATAAGTCCCTTATACACCGCTTCAAAACAAAAAGCCGCACGCTTTCTCCGAGTGAATGGAAGTTACCTCAGCTCAATCGAAAAGCTGTTTCCTGTCAGTATAGAATTTGTTTGAATTCTTTTACCCTCGTTAGGTTTTATACCCCCGCCTCCGGCCTCCAGCTAGTGATATAAAACCTAACGCGGGACGCATAAAACCCCATGTACCCCGAGTGATCCTGCTACAACTTATACTATAACCTGTCAGAACCCGTGTAGACAGTATTCTCTATTACCAGCACACCGCTTATGTCGAACAACGGATAACTCAACATGTCTTTGAGGGTCCTCATGACCTCGAGTTGCATGTTCCAGGAAGACTAGATCAGTTCAAAACCACTTCATTATGCGATGAAGATATGTGGAAATTTGAGACGATCGTGCCGGTTTCACAAGTGTCAAACCAATTCGACAGTAAAATATGTTTAATACAATGTTATTATGATCGCCGTCTTGCAACATATGTTTTGTTCTACAAACAGGGAACCCTTCGAGTGTACAGAAGACACAATGATAACGAAACGTTGATATATTGTCAGTATTTATTTCCTGTGAATTGTATTCATAAATATTTGAAAATATGCAAAACTGTCTGTCAGGTTCATTGGTGTGTATGAAAAACAAAATCTGAAAGAGAAAGAAAAAACAAGCAACGTATTAAAATGTAGATTATATTTGACAATTGACTCATCAGCCTCGAAACCCTATCAGCAACATCATCATCATCATCATCATCATCATCATCATCATCATAAAAAACACATGTATTCTAATAACATGAGCAGTCTTACGTGTTTTTAGTTAATCTTTTTACGTGCATGACATTCAAAATTTGTGTCCATGGATTTTATTCAAAAAGAGTCCTTATTTTTTAATGATAAGTGACTGATTGTAATGGTTGCAATATATCGTAGAATGGAATCTCAGGCTCGTCTTAATTCTGTTAATTTGACATAGTCCCAGAATTATACGTACCTATGATCGTTTCACCCGAGTAGTCAACTGCCTGAATCCACGGCTTTCCTCCAACATTGAACTTACTCGCCCTGATGTTCACTGAAACACTGTTCATAAGGGCGTTGAAACCAGTTCACTCACTCACTCAACTTATACATACCTGTTGTGAATTGGTTAAGTCTTGCTGTAAATCTAACAGATCGGTGGATGCTCGGTCTCTATTTGCCATGGTGACCATGATGTCCGTGGTGTCCATGGTGACCATGATGGCCATGGTGGCCATGGTGACCGTTGCTTCCCTTAACCATTGCTATGGCAACTGAAACAAAACAGCCAAATAGAAATATACTTAGTTTACATAATATAACATGTTGGTGAAAGAGTATTTCAATGCAATCGGTAACAAAAAACACTTAAAAGAAATGGATTTGAAAACAGCGGTTAATTTCAGCCTCGTAAAGTTGAGCGTTGTCAGGTTAGGGACCGACCATTTAATATCCTTGGGGTTGAGTTGGGTGTAGGTGTGTGGGGGTAAAATGGGTTGGGTTATATTCTGTTTGCGCCAGGAGATATTTTCGGTCATTGTGTCAAGATAAACGATTTTTTTTCACAGCAAAAAACAACAAGTGGGGCTTCCGTGGAAGAATATAGATACCAAGCCAAAGACGCCTGTCATAAGATGTGTGACTAAATGGATCGGGTGGTCAGTCTCGGTTTCTTGGTTGATTTCGTGTCATCGCACACCGACGTCGAGGATGGTTGTCCATAACATCAACCTGTGGATTGTCTGGTCCAGATTCGATTATATAATGACCGCGGTCATATAGCAGGAATATTGCTCTGTGCGCCTTTTAACAAAAGTCAACAGTACATAACACGACCGGTCCCTTATTGACACAGGGAGGTTGGAATCCACATACTGATGTTGACACCACTTAACAAATAGCAAGACTATCCTAAGGTCATCAATAAAATCACAAAATAACAAAAGACCTAGGGCTACTCACGTAGTAGAAGAGGTGCAAAAATGGCTGCAAGTTTCATGGCTTGATTTGTTGTGTGTGGACGATAAACGTTGTCCTGCTGTTTGGGTTATGCTGTGTCGTGGTATCCTTTTATTGTGTCATTTACCGGATACGGTGCTTTCAGACGTGATCCCACGCCATTGGACACCTGGGGCTACTTCCCCTGGTTCAAGGTAGGTTACCTTGCGTCGTGCTGGGATGTGTGGGCGGTTGCACATTCATCACAAAGACATTAAACACAAAAAAGGTTGCCTTGTTGTCGTCAGTTTTGAAACCGCGAACCAACAGATCAACACAAATACTGTCACACTTCAATACCTCTTCTCAGCTGGAGGCGTATTTTGTCTCCACAGTATAGCGGAACAACAAACATCTATCTTATGTATATAACGCCTTGTGTTTTTGAATCCAGCTTGTTCAGACTAGACTGTATCTAATGCATAAATGCTATCGGCTATTTTGCCTGCTTGTGCTGGACGTTGAACGTTGGTGCTGAATTCGCAAACGGGGTTCTTAACACTCCTTGAACTGGTTCCACGATTGGCCCTTTTAGCCAACAGGCGCTGACCAAAATGTGGAACAAAGCTGTATGATATCCAGTTATAATAGCGCATGTGTTGCGTTTAAATACGAATGTAAATATGCAGGGAGACGTTTCGAAAATCGAAAAATTGTTTGAGCGATGAAAAGTAATAACCAACTGCTAAGCTGATGTAATATTTTTCGAAAGCAATTTTCTATCTCAAACAAACTTCACGTAGTCCGGTTTCTTTTATGTAGCGATATTGACGACCAATCGCAGATGCGAGAAACCGGCAATCGTTAAGGTAGACAAAGCTTTCTTCCGACTTAATGTCCTGAACATGTTATATCAAACAAAAACAAGGATCGAATGATAACTTGATGTTTTATTTGACAAATCACAGAATTGAACTCTTCTGAACGTGTCCACTCCATTAACTGGCTGACATCTAAGAAACAAACAATAATTGATTAAATGTAAGATGAGCTTTTAATGATATTTAATTTTAATGATATGCAACAAAGCAAACATATCGTAATAAATTAAATTCGACACCGCGTGAGCAAGACATAGTATGCTTCTCTCAAAAAAATTACCCAAAAAGTAAAAATCTATTTCTTCAAATTTATCAAAGTGAAAGTATTGGAGATTTACTCCATCTAACCGAAGCCTTCATTCAGCTTTCCCGGAATAACACGGGAGGTCACGAATTCAGTCGCCGGGATGACACGAGTATTCACAAAACTCACAGCTTTAGCGGCTAATTGTATCCAGTCATAAAAAAACAACAATGGTGTGTATGCAATGAATGAAGAATCTACCTATTTGCCATGATGATGATGATGATGTCCATGGTGTCCATGATGGTGACCGTGGTGATGGTGGCCGTGGTGATGGTGTCCGTGGTGATGATGGCCATGGTGATGATGATGATGGTGATGATGACGACGGTAACTTGAGCTTGAACGACGCCTGTGTCGTCGACAACGGTGAGCCACAGCTCCCTCAAACATCACCATGGAAACTAAAACAAACATGAAAATTGATATCAAATTTTGGTAAGTGCTGTGTACGGCATCTGCAGGCAATGTGTTTGAGTCTTTCTCCTGCCACATGCCACTGTTGAATCTATACATTTCCTTACCTGACTCCAATTTCAGATTCCGCAAGGTAAAAGAACGATTTTCACACGAGACTAAATATCACAACATTAAGTCAGTATAAATAACAATACACTAATATTACACTGGGTACACGTTTTTATGTTTCTGATGATGGCATGCAGAAGCGTACCAAATACGTTTCTTCTGGAGAGTAACCATTTGTATGATCTGTATAATGATAACAACAGTATTTGAGTTCTTTCGCGGTTGTCAGCTTTCTGTGGGAGGGACGCCCAAAGTAATGCCGGTCTCAGACGTTTACCACTTTCGTAAAACTTAACTGCACGGATTCTGAAACACAGCTGTCAAAACAAGGGACAAACTTCTGCACATAGAGCTGAATAAAGTTAACTAATGTCAGAGTTGTTTCCCCTTGAGGATGTACATCGAGATGAAATAAACATAAAAATGGTTAGAATATACTTACCAAGCAAAACTGCAACAACAATGATTGAAAGCTTCATTGGGGGGTCTAGATATATCTTTTGGTCTCAAGATGGTAAATGTAAAATAGGTTTAATAAGACTTGAGTTTCAGGAGGGCTGATGGAGGTCGTTGTGTGATATTCAAATCTCGTTGTCTTATATTTATACCTAGTAAGGAGGAAGTCACGATTGTCGCCGATCTGTCGTTGGGATAAATAATCCCTGAATATTAAACCTCACACTGGGCATGCTGGGAAAAACTCCTACACATTTCTTAAAACTTATTGTAGTTTATTGAGATCAAAACACCATCTAAATAGACATGTTCAGAGATGTGGATGGTTTTTATTCATATTGTCACACCAGATCGTGTCTCCATATTAAACAATCGCAGCAGACGGCTCAGAACGTGTTTCCCGCCAAATTATTGAAGAAGCAGACGACTCAGCGGGGACAGGATTAGCCCAGCTGGGGTCACTTTGACACATCACTGTAGTTTGGGACAGTCTTCCTTGAACATTGCCTGTCGGCGAAATACAAGAACTCAAATGTTTCGGTCAGTGCTGCTTCATGCTAAATCCTGTCACGTGACGCCTCCAAGTTTCATAAATAACCCGTCAAGTCACTGTCTGTCACATTTCCTTCCATCAGCTCCTGGTTAATCGTCAAGGATGAAACTCGCAGTCGTCTTCCTTTTGGGTTTACTCAGTAAGTATGAATGTTCGGTCAGGTCACAATTACTCATACCTGTCTTAAGAATCTGTTCCAAACAATGATCTTAGCGCTGCGATTGTCACAAGTTGCAGTGTGGGAGTTAAGATCGTCTTAGTGCTAAGGTTGATTTGTGGAACGGGGCCTTGGTGGTGGGGAACTTTACCCAACCAATCAACCACTAAGTCCCTGTTTGGACTAGATTATTTAAAGGCCGCCTTGATATACTTGCGTCATAACACAACATTCAGTCAATAGTTTAATATCAAACGGAGGGTGTCGAGTGTTCACTATAACACTGTATACAATAATTTAAAATAAAAACCTATGTCCTCCAATTTTATTGCCACTTATTCTTTTAGTTTCCGTGGTGATGTTTGAGGGAGCCATGTCCCACCGCCGCTGTCGTCGACACAGACGTCACCGTCATTCCAGCAGCTCAAGCTACAGTCATCACCATCATCACCATGGTCACCATCACCATGGACACCACGGTCATCATCACCATGGACACCACGGTCATCATCACCATGGACACCACGGTCATCATCATGGTCACCATGGACATCATCATCATCATCATGGAAAATAGCAATGGGTATACAACATGCAATGGGGCATTCTCCATTTTCCTATTTGTCATATTTTCATTTCTTTTAGGATAAATAGTCCGGATCCGTTCACTCAAAAGCTTCATTTTGAGCCCGAATCGAATGGCTTGACGCTAAAAATAGACGTCGAATCTAATAATTATCCTGAACGAGAGACATTCTGTGCTACGTTGGTGATCAGAGATTGTTGGTGACATCACTTCCGAAACCAATGTTTCACGCGAATTTATATCAAATCCGAGATATTTTTTTCATTGGTTGTTCTAATGTATTAAAATTATCTATTTAATTACTTTGAGGGCACACAGTTCATTTAATTTGTTTTTTAAAGGTTGACTACTCTGAGTGATTATTTATATTTCGAACTCAGCGTGGGTAACATGTATTGATAGAACATTTTTCGTGTCCTGTATACTATATTTCATTTCCTTTTCAGGTGGTTCTGACATCTTGCCAAGTGTACAGTGTACCTTGACTGTCTACAGCCAATAAATATATTAAAACATGTTTTCTCGAAAATTTTTATATGCTTATCAAGGAGTGTGAGTGAGTGAGTTTGGTTTTACGCCGCTTTTAGCAATATTCCAGCAATATCACGGCGGAGGACACCAGAAATGGGCTTCACACATTGTACCCATGTCGGGATTCGAACCCGGGTCTTCGGCGTGACGAGCGAACGCTTTAACCACTAGGCTACCCGACCGCCCCGCTTATCAAGGAAGAAGCGGATGGTCGGGGGTTCGATCCCCGGCCGCGTCATACCAAAAGACGTTGTAAGATGGTACTTGTTGCCCTGCCTAATGTTCGACATTATGGGGCTAAAACAAGGACTGGTCGGCTCGGAATCGGTATATACTGTGTCTGAGTTGGGTATTCATGTTAAACTGCGGCATGTTATCTCAGTGGGCTAGCACAATGAAATCGGCATTAGTCCGGACTAGAACAAGCTTTAAGCAGCCATACACGCATGCACGCACGCATGCGCGTCGGTATATAAGTGCCATAATCTTGAACGCGCTGTTAAACCCCATTTCACCTCACCTCACCCAATGGTCTTAAAAGCTACAATTCGCTATGAAGAGTCCACCGGCTATCAGGATTCGCTGGTTCGAATCCCAGAGTACCTGGCCTATCTGCATCTTGCCTCCATTTTGGATTTTCTTCCTGTTAGATTATACACACCCGGATAGTTGTCCCCTTTCAAAATCAGATCTGGACTTAAATGGCCCCCTCTCAAAACGCACACCCCCTCCCCCCACCATCCATCAATACTTCGACTTTGACTATTAACACTCGCTACATTTCCTGTGGCCGTTCAGTACTAAATATTATAACGTCAAAGATGTCCTCTATGTCATTCATTTCGTAGTCTGTTATAAAACTCATACAAAATATGTTAATTATGCTTCAGCATGCACACTGTCCATGTTACAAGGCAGACATTGTTTTTTATATCACGATTATAAGCTGCTGATATAATCCGCCTCCGTGGTGTAGTGGATAGAGGGTCTGCTCGGAAAGTGAATGGTTCGATTCCCCGGCCGCATCATACCAAGAGACCTTAAAACATGTACTTTTACCCTGCCTGGCACTCTCCATTAAGACGATAAAACAAGGACCGGTCGGCACGAAGGCAGTACATTGAGAGGGGTACCCGTGTTAAACTGCCGCATGGTATCTCAGTGGGCTTTTAAGCCAGCATTAGTCCGGAAGAGTATAAGCAGCTATAAGAGTGCAATAAACGTGAACGCGACGTTAAACACCACCTATGGTTGGGTATGAACCCATGAGTAATAACTGTGCTTTCACTCCAGTCCATGTTAAAGGATATATTTCCACTTTCCAGGTGTGATCCAAATGCAGCTGTAGAGCGGCGTGCAGTAAATAACTGTCTGTGACCACTACTACTACTACTACTACTAGTAGTAGTAGTAGTAGTAGTAGTAGTAAACGGAGAAGAGACGGAACTCAGTTTCCCCGCCGGTCTGTACGCATGGGCCGAAACTTGGTGGACGATGTGAAGCAACTTGACAAGGGCGTTGCCAACTGTGTTCCAATTAGGTCCCAACAAATATTACCCACACGCGCGTTTTGTTGTTTTATCGATCATTTATTCAGCCTTGTCGCTTGAACAACAAGCATGTTCTATTTCGTACAAATTACGTCCAACAAGTTGTATACGTCAAAATTTGACCGTCCACACGATGTAATGTATACAACTAGTTGTACCGTGTGAATGCACCTTTACAGGATATTTTGCAATTCCTAAACAAACAAGCGTTAACGTCTTTATCGTATGATATTCTTAATCTATCGTCACAAACGGTTTTAAAGCTTTACGGGTTTTCCTCGAACTTGCGATATAACTTTAAAATATTCCAACTGAAACTTGTATTTTTTTCTGTGACATAAGGCCCAGATTGGCAAAAGACACTTGCTCTACATAATTTTTCAAGGTCAGACAAAGTCTTTTCGCGGCAATCCATCGGTTAGCCCGCTTGAGTTATTGCCCTTTATCAAAGGGAAGCCACTCTAATCTGATTCGAGAAGCTGTTTTCGAGTCTGCCTGCACACTCAGGCGCAGTGGTAACTTAGCAAGTAACTCTGGGTAGGAGAGTGGTGTGCCTGGTCATTACATTGTCATAACGTTACAAACTTCAGTCAGATGTCCCACACGGGGACCATATGAAACAAAGTAAGGTATGTATGCAGACATAGTTTGTTTTTTTACAGACGCCATGTTGAGCCACCTCGATCAACACAGTAAACTGTTTTACATTCGCCCTGATTCGGGAAAGGGTCTTAAGCTGCTGAGGTCTACAAGCACAGATTTTAATACGACATAGAAACTTATCCCCCAGCGTCCTCGCTAAACTGCTTCGCAAATCTTAATCTCTCGTCCAATTCGCAGATAACCCTAGTGTGTTTTGAAATGTGATGTTGTCCCACTGTAGAGTAGATACCGAGCGCGTTAGCGTATTAGAGACCCAGCGTGCAAGTGAGGAAATATCGATACGTTTCTGCATAGATACTTCTTTTCAACATACACAATGTAATGAAGTTTGTTTTTATAGTGGCAATTTAGACGTTACGTGCTCTATTTTGGTAATCATCATAACTGAAATCTAAATCCTGCAGAATTTGAAGTAATCGACCAGTAGCTTTAATTATTTATTAATGTTGAATTGCCACACAGATGACTTTTTAACGGGGAAGAACGGCTGACACAACGTCAGCTTCTCCTTCCCACTCTTGAAGAGCCAGAATCCTTTTCGTATTGTACAAGAATGCCAGAACAACAGAGAGATTTAGTCTGTAGGTACAAGTATATTGCAGGAATTCCCAGCTAAAGTCTGAAAAAGCACATCATGACCCCCCAATCCTCACACGTTGTATCCTGGGACAAGCATGTGGTACTGGGGATTACATCTGCCCCGACATTTCCACGGAGTCTTTCATAAAGAAACTCACTGTGTATTGATGTAACATGTTCGGTGTGTTGAGGGGTATTGCTGTTTTAGCATCTAAACAATTCTGCCCAGGAAGTTCCCAAGGGTTATTCAGAGAGAGATTCAGTGTATTGGGAACATACCCATGTAGCATCTGTACCAGTGTGTTTTAGGGACATTGCTATGTTGTGGTGGTTGTGGTGGATAAAAGAGTTGATCTTCAGCAACCCATTCTTGTCGTAAAAGGCGACAAACGGGATCGAGTGGTGAAGGTCGCTGACTTGGTTGATGCTTCAAAAATGGCACAAACGCACATGAATAATCTTTCACTGGGCATATTAAGAACATACCATCCAGTTGCACCTGGCACCTTTGATTGGTGAAAGGTAGACCATGTAGGCCTTTGTTTAATGAAGAAAGCATATACAACTTTGTGTGTTATTGGATAATTATTTAATTACGACAGAAATAGTGAAATTATCAGGGCAAACCGGTTTTCTAAGTTGAGTTGTGTCCCTTAGGAGTTGCGTCCATCGTTAAGGTAGACAGGAACCCAGTCAAAACGCTCATACAGTTTCCAGCAACGATCTCTCGTAATAATAAGCCTTTATCTGTTTAAATGACGGGGTGTTCAAGCATTTCAAAGCTTTCTTCCGACTTAATGTCCTAAACATGTTATATCAAACAAAAACAAGGATCGAATGATAACTTGATGTTTTATTTGACAAATCACAGAATTGAACTCTTCTGAACGTGTCCACTCCATTAACTGGCTGACATCTAAGAAACAAACGAAAATTGATTAAATGCAAGATGAGCTTTTTTAACTTTAATAATATGCAACAAAGCAAACATATCGTAATAAAATATATTCGACACCGCCATCTCAAAAAGAGTACCCTAAAAATAAAAATCTATTTCTTCGAATTTATCAAAGTGAAAATATTGAAGATTTACTCCATCTGACCGAAGCCTTCATTCAGCTTTCCCGGAATAACACGGGAGGTCACGAATTCAGTCGCCGGGATGACACGAGTATTCACAAAACTCACAGCTTTAGCGGCTAATTGTATCCAGTCATAAAAAACAACAATGGTGTGTATGCAATGAATGAAGAATCTACCTATTTGCCATGATGATGATGATGATGTCCATGGTGTCCATGATGGTGACCGTGGTGGTGGTGGCCGTGGTGATGGTGTCCGTGGTGATGATGGCCATGGTGATGATGATGATGGTGATGATGACGACGGTAACTTGAGCTTGAACGACGCCTGTGTCGTCGACAACGGTGAGCCACAGCTCCCTCAAACATCACCATGGAAACTAAAACAAACATGAAATTGATATGAAACTTTGGTAAGTGCTGTGTACGGCATCTGCAGGCAATGTGTTTGAGTCTTTCTCCTGCCACATGCCACTGTTGAATCTATACATTTCCTTACCTGACTCCAATTTCAGATTCCGCAAGGTAAAAGAACGATTTTCACACGAGACTAAATATCACAACATTAAGTCAGTATAAATAACAATACACTAATATTACACTGGGAACATGTTTTTATGTTTCTGATGATGGCATGCATCAGCGTACCAAATACGTTTCTTCTGGAGAGTAACCATTTGCATAAGCTGTATAATGATAACAACAGTATTTGAGTTCTTTCGCGGTTGTCAGCTTTCTGTGGGAGGGACGCCCAAAGTAATGCCGGTCTCAGACGTTTACCACTTTCGTAAAACTTAACTGCACGGATTCTGAAACACAGCTGTCAAAACAAGGGACAAACTTCTGCACATAGAGCCGAATAAAGTTAACTAATGTCAGAGTTATTTCCCCTTGAGGATGTACATCGAGTTGAAATAAACATAAAAATTGTTAGAATATACTTACCAAGCAAAACTGCAACAACAATGATTGAAAGCTTCATTGTGGGTTCTAGATATATCTTTTGGCCTCAAGATGGTAAATGTAAAATAGGTTTAATAAGACTTGAGTTTCAGAAGGGCTGTTGGAGGTCGTTGTGTGATATTCAAATCTCGTTGTCTTATATTTATACCTAGTCTTTGGGATAAATAATCCCTGAATATTAAACCTCACACTGGGCATGCTGGGAAAAACTCCTACACATTTCTTAAAACTTATTGTAGTTTATTGAGATCAAAACACCATCTAAATAGACATGTTCAGAGATGTGGATGGTTTTTATTCATATTGTCACACCAGATCGTGTCTCCATATTAAACAATCACAGCAGACGGCTCAGAACGTGATTCCCGCCAAAATATTGAAGAAGCAGACGACTCAGCGGGAACAGGATAAGCCCAGCTGGGGTCACTTTGACACATCACTGTAGTTTGGGACAGTCTTCCTTGAACATTGCCTGTCGGCGAAATACAAGAACTCAAATGTTTCGGTCAGTGCTGCTTCATGCTAAATCCTGTCACGTGACGCCTCCAAGTTTCATAAATATACCCGTCAAGTCACTGTCTGTCACATTTCCTTCCATCAGCTCCTGGTTACTCGTCAAGGATGAAACTCGCAGTCGTCTTCCTTTTGGGTTTACTCAGTAAGTATGAATGTTCGGTCAGGTCACAATTACTCATACCTGTCTTAAGAATCTGTTCCAAACAATGATCAAAGCGCTGCGATTGTCACAAGTTGCAGTGTGGGAGTAAAGATCGTCTTAGTGCTAAGGTTGATTTGTGGAACGGGGTCTTGGTGGTGGGGAACTTTACCCAACCAATCAACCACTAATTCTCTGTTTGGACTAGATTATTTACAGGCCGCCTTGATATACTTTCGTCATAACACAACATTCAGTCAATAGTTTAATATCAAACGGAGGGTGTCGAGTGTTCACTATAACACTGTTTACAATAATTTAAAATAAAAAAGTATGTCCTCCAATTTTATTGCCACTTATTCTTTTAGTTTCCATGGTGATGTTTGAGGGAGCCATGTCCCACCGCCGCTGTCGTCGACACAGACGTCACCGTCATTCCAGCAGCCCAAGTTACAGTCATCACCATCATCGCCATGGTCACCATCACCATGGACACCACGGTCATCATCATGGTCACCATGGACATCATCATCATCATCATGGAAAATAGCAATGGGTATACAACATGCAATGGGGCATTCTCCATTTTCCTATTTGTCATATTTTCCTTTCTTTTAGGATAAATACTCCGGATCCGTTCACTCAAAAGCTTCATTTGGAGCCCGAATCGAATGGCTTGACGCTAAAAATAGACGTCGAATCTAATAATTATCCTGAACGAGAGACATTCTGTGCTACGTTGGTGATCAGAGATTGTTGGTGACGTCACTTCCGAAACCAAGGTTTCACGCGAAAGGCGTTTCGCGGAGATTGCAATCATTGAATATAATTAACATTAATTATATCAAATCCGAGATATATTTTTCATTGGTGGTTCTAATGTATTAAGATTATCTATTTAATTACTTTGAGAGCACACCGTTCATTTAATTTGTTTTTTAAAGGTTCACTACTCTGAGTGATTAATTATATTTCGAACTCAGCCTGGGTAACATGTATTGATGAAACATTTTTCGTGTCATGTAAACTATATTTCATTTCCTTTTCAGGTGGTTCTGACATCTTGCCAAGTGTACAGTGTACCTTGACTGTCTACAGCCAATAAATATATTAAAACATGTTTTCTCGGAATTTTTTATATGCTTATCAAGGAGTGTGAGTGAGTGAGTTTGGTTTTACGCCGCTTTTAGCAATATTCCAGCAATATCACGGCGGAGGACACCAGAAATGGGCTTCACACATTGTACCCATATCAGGATTCTAACCCGGGTGTACGGCGTGACGAGCGAACGCTTTAACCACTAGGATACCCGACCGCCCCGCTTATCAAGGAAGAAGCGGATGGTCGGGGGTTCGATCCCCGGCCGCGTCATACCAAAAGACGTTGTAAGATGGTACTTGTTGCCCTCCCTAATGCTCGACATTATGGGGCTAAAACAAGGACTGGTCGGCTCGGAATCGGTATATACTGTGTCTGAGTTGGGTATTCATGTTAAACTGCGGCATGTTATCTCGATGGGCTAGCACATTGAAATCGGCATAAGTCCAGACTAGAACAAGCTTTAAGCAGCCACACACGCATCCACGCATGCGCATTCACGATTATAAGCTGCTGATATAATCCGCCTCCGTCGTGTAGAGGATAGAGGGTCTGCTCGGAAAGTGAATGGTTCGATTCCCCGGCCGCATCATACCAAGAGACCTTAAAACATGTACTTTTACCCTGCCTGGCACTCTCCATTAAGACGATAAAACAAGGACCGGTCGGCACGAAAGCAGTACATTGAGAGGGGTACCCGTGTTAAACTGCCGCTTGGTATCTCAGTGTTTTTTTAAGCCAGCATTAGTCCGGAAGAGTATAAGCAGCAATATGAGTGCAATAAACGTGAACGTGACAGAATGTCACAATAACCACCTATGGTTGGGTATGAACCCATGAGTATTAACTGTGCTTTCACTCCAGTCCATGTTAAAGGATATATTTCAACTTTCCAGGTGTGATCCAAATGCAGCTGTAGAGCGGCGTGCAGTAAATAACTGTCTGTGACCACTACTACTACTACTACTACTAGTAGTAGTAGTAGTAGTAGTAGTAAACGGAGAAGAGAAGGAACTCAGTTTCCCCGCCAGTCTGTACGCATGGTCCCAAACTTGGTGGACGATGTGAAGCAACTTGACAAGGGCTTTGCCATCTGGGTTCCAATTAGGTCCCAACAAATATTACCCACACGCGCGTTTTGTTGTTTAATCGATCATTTATCGAGCCTTGTTGCTTGAACATAAAGCATGTTCTATTTCGTACAAATTACGTCCAACAAGTTGTGTACGTCAAAACTTGACTGTCCACACGATGCAATGTATACAACTAGTTGTACCGTGTGAATGCACCTTTACAGGATATTTTGCAATTCCTTAACACACAAGCGTTAACGTCTTTATCGTATGATATTCTTAATCTATCGTCACAAACGGTTTCAAGGCCTTACAAGTTTCCTCGAACTTGCGATATAACTTTAAAATATTCCAACTGAAACTTGTATTTTAGACTGTGACATAAGGCCCAGGTTGGCAGAGGACACTTGCTCTACATATTTTACAAGGTCAGACAAAGTCTTTTCGCGGCAATCCATCGGTTAGCCCGCTTGAGTTATAGCCCTTTATCAAAGGGAAGCCACTCTAATCACACTCCGTCGCAGTGGTGACTCAGCATAACACCACTGCCACAGGCTAATTTGCATATCACGTGACCGGACTTTTCTCTTGTTTGTAAACAAACGCGCTTTTTCAGAAATCAGTATAGAACGGACTAATGCAAGTATTTGGGGGCGCTTTACATACTGTTTTGCATAAATATATAGATATGCTACTACAACTGCGACAGTGAGTTGCATGACAATATATATTTATGCATCAAAGTGACCGTGTCGCTAGCTCTCCGTTGGGCTTCGATGACAGCACGTGGAGCCGTACAACCAATGTAAACATAGGATAACTACGCAAAAACAAGTAGATTTTTACGTATTTGCATACTTTCTCAATAAAAATTAGCCATTCTTTGACATTTGTTTATGAAAATGTGTAGACTTGTCAAACATGAAACGGATGAAAAGCATATGCAATATGTTGAATGGACTGTGAAAGATGTGACGAATCGTCACATGGCGCTGGCCTGTGGCAGAGGTACTATGCTAGCTGGCTGCCGGCCGCATGGAACTCTGGGTAGGAGAGTGCACTCTAATCTGATTCGAGAAGCTGTTTTCGAGTCTGCCTGCACACTCAGGCGCAGTGGTAACTTAGCAAGTAACTCTGGGTAGGAGAGTGGTGTGCCTGGTCATTACATTGTCATTACGTTACAAACATCAGTCAGATGTCCCACACGGGGACTAAATGAAACAAAGTAAGGTATGTATGGAGACATATTATTGTTGTTGTTTTTGTTGTTTTTTTACAGACGCCATGTTGAGCCACCTCGATCAACACAGTAAACTGTTACATTCGCCCTGATTCGGGAAAGGGTCTCAGGCTGCTGAGGTCTACAAGCACAGATTTTAATACGATATAGAAACTTATCCCCCAGCGTCCTCGCTAAACTGCTTCGCAAATCTCAATCTCTCGTCCAATTCGCAGATAACCCTACTGTGTTTTGAAATTTGATGTTGTCCCACTGTAGAGTAGATACCGAGCGCGTTAGCGTATTAGAGACCCAACGTGCAAGTGAGGAAATATCGATACGTTTCTGCATAGATATTTCTTTTCAACATACACAATGTAATGAAGTTTGTTTTTATAGTGGCAATTTAGACGTTACGTGCTCTATTTTGGTAATCGTCATAACTGAAATCTAAATCCTGCAGAATTTGAAGCAATCGACCAGTAGCTTTAATTATTTGTTAATGTTCAACTGCCACACAGATGACTTTTTACGGGGAAGAACGGCTGACACAACGTCAACTTCTCCTTCCCACTCTTGAAGAGCCAGAATCCTTTTCGTATTGTACAAGAATGCCAGAACAACAGAGAGATTTACTCTGTAGGTACAAGTATATTGCAGGAATTCCCAGCTAAAGTCTGAAAAAGCACATCATGACCCTCCAATCCTCACACGTTGTATCCTGGGACAAGCATGTGGTACTGGGGATTACATCTGCCCCGACATTTCCACGGAGTCTTTCATAAAGAAACTCACTGTGTATTGATGTAACATGTTCGGTGTGTTGAGGGGTATTGCTGTGTTAGCTTCAGTTTCAGTTTCAGCTTTTATTTCTCTGAAAAACCACCAACGGTGCCCAGGAAGTTCCCAAGAGTGATTCAGAAAGAGATTTAGTGTATTGGGAATATACCCATGTAGCATCTGTACCAGTGTGTTTTAGGGACATTGCTATGTTGTGGTGGTTGTGGTGGATAAAAGAATTGATCTTCAGCAACCCATTCTTGTCGTAAAAGGCGACAAACGGGATCGAGTGGTGAAGGTCGCTGACTTGGTTGATGCTTCAAAAATGGCACAAACGCACATGAATAATCTTTCACTGGGCATATTAAGAACATACCATCCAGTTGCACCTGGCACCTTTGATTGGTGAAAGGTAGACCATGTAGGCCTTTGTTTAATGAAGAAAGCATATATAATTTTGTGTGTTATTGGATAATTATTTATTTACGACAGAAATAGTGAAATTATCAGGGCAAACCGGTTTTCTAAGTTGAGTTGTGTCCCTTAAGAGTTGCGTCCATGAAAACCTAAAAATTAAGTACTAATCCCAAATTCGCCCTTCTCATGTTTGTTGCTTTGTCCGCCAAGTCTTGGGTTTCATCACAGTTGTAAATGTACACTACGTCTAAGACCTGCACATCCTTCTACATCAAACTGACATGTTGCGATGTAATTGTTCACTCACTCATTTGATAGGTCAAATGTTGATGAAGTGTTTTCATAGTCAATACAAAAATACATCTGATTAGGTTTGAATCATATTGCAAGGTATTAATATAGTTTAAGTATTCCTTGCGCAAAGAATGCGATATCAGAGTGATTAACGATGATGGGATTGTGTCCCAAACTGAAATATCAAAGGAACAATAGAACCCTTCTATTTAAGTGCAGGACTTAATATTCGCTCACATAAACGACACATCCAGCACATAGTCTTGCGTGCAGCTGGAGAGCGGAACATAATGAATACATTTTTTCTTTAATATAGAAATCTTGAACATGTTTTGTGTATGGATATTGATTTAAATACGAAACGGAATTGTAATGTTATTAAAAAAAAACACTAAAATAATTATATTTCTTTAATAAGTCCTTATTGTTTTATTTATGTGACGAGTGAGTGAACATCGCAATATGTCAGCTTGATGTGGGTGGAAATCCCGAGGTGATGAAGGCCTTAGACGTTGAGTGTTAAAATACACCTCTGGTGAAGCCCACTAACATTCTTACGGCACAGGGGCCTGAAACCTATGATCGTTGGTTCGAATGCCGGTTAGCCCTGATTATGTTTCTAGGTTTGTCAGCGTCATACCCGTGCTCGTTGGGTGTTTTTTCATCAAAGTGTTAAACGTCTGAGACCTGCATGATTTCGGTCTTTCCTCCCACAGTGAGCTGGCAAGCCGTGACATAACTGGAATATTGTTCAAAGCGGCGGGAAACCCAACTCACTCACTCTCTCTTACGGGACAATCCGTTGCCCCAAGTAGTGACATATAGAAATACTGATATTAAACGAGGAAGAGATAAGGGGAAACCGCAAGAAGATTAATGATTATGGGTCGCTATATGGCCTGAAATAATGCCGATGCGACTTTAAATTTTAACTCACTCACTTAATGATGATGATTGGGAAAATAAACACAATCAAAGAAAAACACACACGGAGTCTTCCTTGTTCCACTGTCAAGCTGGATAATGTATCCTTTAGGCACAACCATAGCTGTTCGTGATTCAAAACTAAATCAGTCATGACTCTCACACAGCATCGTGTTTCCCGCCAAAACATGGCCCAGCGGACGACAGCGTCAACCAGTTGAGTCGCTGATTAATCCCAACTATCACGGCCAGAACACCATGGGACGACTGACGCCGGAACACTCGTGAGTTTTTTGTTTGATTTGGAGGATTATATTACAAATATATTTCTTTTGAAGTGTGATAATGTAGGCTGCATCACGTGTTGGTTGGCAATAAAACTATATAAGACCATCCTTACCTACACTTGACATTACAAACTTAGCGCCACTATTCATCAATCGACACTTTGCTCTCGAAGTCACTGAAAATGAAGACTGTCGCTTTCTTTGTGCTTCTTTTGTTGGGTATGTTTTACTAATGATTTCACTCCACAAAATAATCGTCTACATATTTTAATCCGCCAAATCTATACTCTAAAACAGGCTTAAAGCTCCACGTTAGGTGAAATTGGGTTGAACTCGTGTTGAAGGTTATTTTATATATTGTATTGTCTTGTGATACGCCAGGGGATGATACACCGACCTTCCGCTCTCTGGGTAAACGTTCTTTCCACTACACCACGGAGTGATTTCTGAAAGTGTGTTGCATAATTAGGTGGCTGTATTAATGTTGTTGTTTTTTCAGTTTCAATGATGATGTTTGATGGAACCATGGCTCACCGTTGTCGACGACACAGACGTCGGTCCAGCCATCATCATCACCATCATCATCATGGTCACCATCACCATGGCCACCATCACCACGGTCACCATCACCACGGTCACCATCACCATGGTCACCATCACCACGGTCACCATCACCATGGCCACCATCACGGACACCATGGACATCACCATCACGGAAAATAGGTAGATTCTCGAGTATTGTCATCACAAGCAATAACAAGTTGATACATATCTTATATTCATATATACATAAGTTGCGCACTTTGCATCCAGTGATCTAGGGTTCACACAGACAAAAACGATTGGGGGGATTTTAGTTTTAAGCTAGCATTCAAAATTGCACTTACGTTTCAGTTGAAAATTACACATGTTTATATATATTCCTGGTGTCTCCATGTTCATCTACTGTTTGTGTTTACAGATAGCAGAAAGTATGCCGGCAAGTACAGAGTACCTTCATTATCTTGCACAGAGGGAGTGGAGGGCACATCTATTGACACCTCACCAACAGTGTTTCAGCCTGGCTATACTGTAAACCCTGCATACCTCTACTTGAAAAGAGAGATTCAATGTAAACCTGCACAATAAATCTAAATTATCGTAAAATATGTTTGTTGTTGCTGTCGTTCAAAACACACACGCACGCACGTACGTACATCCTCAAAGGTAGGCATGGTCAAATCGCCTTCCGTTGGAAAGTGACCGCCTCCGTGTTCTCGTGGTAGAGCGTCCGCCCGGAGAGCGGAAGGTTCGGGGTTCGATCCCCGGCCGCGTCATACCAAAAGACGTTAATAGATGGTACTTGTTGTTACCCTGTCTGGCGCTCGGCATTAAGGGGCTAAAGCAAGGACTGGTCGGCTCGGAGTCAGTATACTGTGTCTGAGTGGGGTATTCATGTTATACTGCGGCATGGTATCTCAGTGAGCTAGCACTATAAATCGGCATCAGTCCGGACTAGTACAAGCAGCCACACAAACACACACACGTACATGCACTTCGCTATATAAGTACAATAATCTTGGACGCGACGTTAAACCCCATTTCACCTCCCTTGGAAAGTGCATTATCGCCAGAGAAGGATCGTGTTTCCGCGGAGAAATAGACCATGGCGATTTGTACCAATCTGAGAGCATTCTATATTGGCATTTCAAAATATTTATATGTACAATAATTACAGGTTTCAATATGCGGAGTTGTGTCTTACTCACTCACTCACTGCCATGTTTCTTCTTTGTCCGTGTACCCAATACCCGGATGGTAACATATTTAACATTCATAAGCTCAAGACGGCTCGTTCGGTCCCAAATTTAATCTTTTAACGCCATTAATACTATACACATCTTTCTAATGCAAACACCATAATGTAGCTTTAAATCAAATAAATAGAATAGAATTAATAAACCTGGTGGTGTCCGCTACAGCGAGTTTCTTGGAATCTCTTCAAATCCGAGCTTTATTACACGGACACCTAGAACAACAGGTTTTAACCCTGGTATGCGCACTAACAATCTGTCCTCTAAAATCTGGTTTCCCTCTCCAAGATCGACACTCTATCTCTCCTCCTCCTCCTCAGGCAAAACAACTTCTGTTTCAGCGCGTCCCGGAAGTCCCGCCAAGCCAGACTGAACACCACCACGTTCAGACAAGCGTTCAGATAGGATACGTGTTCCGCCAGGGCGAACGTCGGTGAACGGGGAACATCCTCGTGAAACAAGGGAACAAATCCTCCAGGGTTGGTAAACAGTAGAATATTCAGCGGTAAATGCGTCAGTGTGAATAACACCAGCTTTCCAACAGTCGCTGAGTTTGTCCCCGGAGATGGCTTCCGTGTGTGATTCGGATAATTCTTGATGTTTGAATAGATCAGACCGGCTATAAAACACATCGCGGTGACTGAAGGGATGATGTAATAAAATACACCTTGGAACACAAGCCAGTCCGATTTGAAAAATGGATGATCTGGCGAAGGTAGACATTCTGCAATTCTGTCAGTTTTGTTGGATTCAATGGAATCAAAGACGAACACGATCGGAAAATTTAGAGCAAGAACCAGCACCCCACAAAGGAGAAGAGTAAACTTGGCTGATATTTCATTAACTATTTTCACCGACACTGATTGATGGTGGGCATACAGGTATCTGTCAACAGACAGGATGATCAACAAACACGCTCCGAAATCATTAACTGTGAAGTGAACAAACAGATACACGCTGCAATCTATCTCCGTCACAATGTTCACGTTGACGGCGTGACGTAGCAAGTCACGTGATGAGGATAGCAGTAACGAAGCCGTGTCGGACACCGCTAGACAGGAGAAGTACAATTGAACCATTGTTCCGGGTTCGGTGAAATATATCCCCGGGTAGAGCAACAGTAGTGACGTCATGTTGCCAAAAACTCCAAACAGCATGAAAAGTGGCGTAAGACAAAGGGACACAACTCTTACTATTCCGTACATAATGGCGAAGGGTTGAACACATTTCTTGTTTTTCACGAACCGCCTGCCCGGGAATTTTATTTTTATTTTCAAACGATTGTTTGAATTCAAATTTCGTCTTTGCACTGGATTCAGACTCTTTGCACATTCCATGTATCAAGAAATGTTTTGTAACTTGCGAAAATCAAGAAACGTCGGATGTGAAAATTTAAGACATCTCTGCACAATTGTAAAACCATGTTGCGTTTTATAGTCTACAACGATGCTTGTTCACATAACCAAGGTATTTTTTCTGACTTTTTCGGGATTGGCCCCAAACACGGGGTTTTGTATCTTGTTGGTCGAAGACTATCCTGCTCCGTTCAGTGCAGGTTTAGAAAGATTCCAGTGAAGTTTTCCACGGTGAACAATCAAGGATATGTTTATGGGTCCATGAAAACTTTCTTAAACAGATAAGATGAGAGTAGAAATCCGGTGTGAGTCCATATTGTTATTACTGATTCGAGACGTGTTAACCTTTGTGAATTCCGATAGACGTCAAACACTTCTCTTCACCAGCGATATAATAGTCCTGCCATTCTCGCTCATCAGACACCAGAGTAGCCTTGTGGAGAAAGGGTTGACACGTCTGGATGGAGACCAGATTTCGATTTCCAACAAGTGTAAATTTATTAATCCAATTCTTGGTGCCCCCGTTATATGGCAGAAACATTGGCTCGTCTCACGACGTGACTTATCTTTCCGAAGGGTTTCTGAGGAATTCCGAAAAGTCAATGAATCACAAAACAAATTCTGTCCATGGAAATGTCACGAAAATCACCAAAACAAGCCATGTACATGACTGTAAAGGGTTTCAGAAAAATAGGTGAATTCGGTTTGTCCCCAACCGCACCTGGTCTGGTCTCCCAGATGCGCTGTTCAATGTTGTTATAATGCAGCGATATGTGTGTGCCCACTCATGTGTTGCACGACAACAGTTTGCAAACATCGTTTATCAAATTAATGACTACAACCCTCTCCCAATATCAATACCGCTTGCAAATGCTTCACTTTCATGCAAGTGTGTAATTTATCATGGCCATACGACCATAACAATGCGGTAATATGTAATACGTGTCTTGCCATTTTTGGTATTTTAGGTTGTTGGTTCCGACAGGGTCAGTGTGATTGTAATTCTAATGTAATGCATTTGGAACGCGTACCAGACATGGAGATTATTAGACGAGTGCGTTTCCATATCGTACATGTATTATTACGAATAGAAATTGTATTATGCAAACCTTTGCTCTGTGACACCACCAATACCACGTGACACCACCCGTGCCATGTGAACCTGTTTCGTGACACCACCCGTCCCAAAAACACCACCCATGTCCTGTAACACCTCCCATCCCTGTAGCACCTCCCATGTCCTGTAACACCTCCTATCCCTGTAACACCTCCCATCCCTGTAACACCCCCCCCCCCCCCCATGTCCTGTAAAACCTCCCATCCCTGTAACACCCCCCCCCCCCCCCCCCCCCCCATGTCATGTAACATCTCCCATCCCTGTAACACCTCCCATGTCCTGTAACACAACCCATGTTTTGTAACACGTCCAAGGTTCTGTAACACCACCCATCCCTGTAACACCTACCATCCCTGTAACCTTTCCATGTCTCGTAACACCACCCATCCCTGTAGCACCACCCATGTCCTGTAACACAACCCATCCCTGTAACACCACCCATGTCCTGTAACACCTACCATCCCTGTAATACTTTCCATGTCTCGTAACACCACCCATCCCTGTAGCACCTCCCATGTCCTGTAACACCTCCTATCCCTGTAACACCTCCCATCCCTGTAACACCAGCCATGTTCCGTAACACCTCCCATCCCTGTAACACCTCCCATCCCTGTTACACCTACCATGTCCTGTAACACATCCCATCCCTGTAACACCACCCATGTCCTGTAACACCTCCTATCCCTGTAACACCTCCCATGTTCTGTAACACCTCCCATCCCTGTTACACCTACCATCCCTGTAATACTTTCCATGTCTCGTAACACCTCCCATCCCTGTAACACCTCCCATGTCCTGTAACACCTCCCATCCCTGTAACACCTACCATCCCTGTAATACTTTCCATGTCTCGTAACTGCACCCATCCCTGTAACACCACCCATGTCCTGTAACACCTCCCATACCTGTAACACCACCCATGTCCTGTAACACCTCCCATACCTGTAACACCTCCCATGTTCTGTAACACCTCCCATGTCCTGTAACACCTCCCATCCCTGTAACACCTACCATCCCTGTAATACTTTCCATGTCTCGTAACTGCACCCATCCCTGTAACACCACCCATGTCCTGTAACACCTCCCATACCTGTAACACCACCCATGTCCTGTAACACCTCCCATACCTGTAACACCTCCCATGTTCTGTAACACCACCCATGTCCTGTAACACCTCCCATCCCTGTAACACCTCCCATGTTCTGTAACACCTCCCATCCCTGTTACACCTACCATCCCTGTAATACTTTCCATGTCTCGTAACACCTCCCATACCTGTAACACCTCCCATGTTCTGTAACATCTCCCATGTTCTGTAACACCTCCTATCCCTGTAACACCTCCCATGTCCTGTAACACCTCCCATCCCTGTAACACCTACCAACCCTGTAATACTTTCCATGTCTCGTAACTGCACCCATCCCTGTAACACCACCCATGTCCTGTAACACCTCCCATACCTGTAACACCACCCATGTCCTGTAACACCTCCCATACCTGTAACACCTCCCATGTTCTGTAACATCTCCCATGTCCTGTTACACCTCCCATCCCTGTAACACCTCCCATCCCTGTAACACCTCCCATGTTCTGTAACACCTCCCATCCCTGTAACACCTCCCATGTTCTGTAACACCTCCCATCCCTGTAACACCTCCCATGTTCTGTAACACCTCCCATCCCTGTAACACCTCCCATCCCTGTAACACCTCCCATGTTCTGTAACACCTCCCATCCCTGTAACACCTCCCATCCCTGTTACACCACCCATGTCCTGTAACACCTCCCATGCCTGTAACACCTCCCATGTTCTGTAACATCTCCCATGTTCTGTAACACCTCCCATCCCTGTAACACCTCCCATCCCTGTAACACCACCCA